CTCCCGGGGGGAAGCCCTGGCAGCCGGAGGATGCTCTTGAGAAGCAGCCTGCAGTTCCTCCCGACTCAGAGCCAGGCAGGGGGCTCCACACCCAGGCTCGTCTGCCAGGTCTCCGAGGTTCGAGAGGAGCAGCGGAATAAACCACCGGCCGCTCGTTCCCTCGCCAGACCCCGGATCTAGGCTGCAGGGGGGGAGCCATGGGGCTGCCCAGTCCCCTCTGCCTGGAGAGCTGTGGATTTTCAACCCCAGCCCGTCTGAAGCTGACTCCTGTCCCCAGGAGGGAGCCGGCAGCGCTGCTACCCAGGAGGGGCTCGAAACAGGGCCCCGTTGATTTAAATCTCGCACAAGCCCTAAGTGAAAGGCTCCGTGAGCCACACACAAGATGCAGAGAGGTTTTAGGAAGCCCGTGGACTCGCTTATATCACTGTGACGGCGCGTTGGGGTTTTCCCGTCTCCTGCACCCCCGTAATGGCACGGACAGACTCCACCAGCCAGTAGAACAGAGGGAGGTTATTGCTGCTCCAGGATACAGCACAGCACAGATGTCATCTGGTTACAGGACAGGCCTAGGATGCCTCAGCCCCCCTTGATATGGGGGGGGGCTGCCTCCATGATACCAGACAGAAACTAACTCACTGTCCAGCCCTGCCCCCAGCCAGGGCTTCACTCCCCTTCTTCCCATTGTTCCGCTCCCTGGGAGATCACTGGTCAGACAGGTTCTTAGCCCCCTTGCATAATGACTCATCCCCTGCCCTGCTGGGCCGTGCTGCAGCCAGTGGAGGTCACTCACAACCCACTGCCCAGCCTAGCAACCAGCAAGGCACCCCCCACTACATCACAATCACCCAGTCGAACCAGCCCACGGCCATGAACTCTACCGGGCATCGGAAGCGAAACAAAGGCACAAAGCCACCCCCCTCCCTAGGAAACTGAGGATCAAGCCTCCGAGCCGATTGGGCCAGGTACCTGTATCCAAAGGAGCTGACGTCCCCGCAGAGGAACCAGGCTGATCTAGCCTGGCTTTGGGCGCAGACTGTGGCTTCGAGGTTACAGCCAGAGAAATACGACAAGGGCCCTTTTCGAATCACCTACAGAGCCCGAATCCAGGACCTCTGGATGCAACCACATGAGTCTCTGCCACCTGGGCTCCATACTCAGATCTCTCAACAGCACGGCAGTGGAGGAGCCAGGGACCCCATCTACGCCGGGATGGAAAATCCCCTTTCACCACGTAACCGGTTACACGTGTGTAACTTGTTAACCGCTTACATGGGTGAGGGTTAACTGCCCATTCCCTCCCCCCCCCCGCTGGGGGCAGGGCTACTCCAGCTGGGCTAGAGCGCCCCCTACTGGTGGCGTGATGCAGCAGGCCCACGGGAGCCTCCCGCCAGGTTTCAGCATCCCCCGCTTGCAGCCCAGTGGCCACTGGCTAACCAGTCACACCCCTAATCTACGGCCCTGCTGCGAGAGGGGAACCCAGCGCCACAGGCGGCCAGGGCGGGTTTTGGCACGTTTCTTCGGAGAGCTCGTCTGCCAAGCAGCTCCGTGGCTTCTGGAAGCTGGGCTCTTGCTCTGTGACGTGAGCGAGGACCCCCCCACGCTTGGACCCCGGGCTCCTCCTAAGGACCATTAAAACCAGCAGCGAATGGACGAGCGGGGAGCAGAGCCCACAGGCTGGGAGATGTCAAAGAACCTTCCCCCAGGCTCCCCCCCACAAGCGGTCAGCCCCGGGTGCCTGGGGCTCGTGCCGAAGGGCTGGGCACCCCCTGGAGGCAGGGACAAAGGGGACAGCTGGAATTCAGCCACCCAGGTGTGACGGCGCGTTGGGGGTTCCCCGTCTCCTGCACCCTGAAATGGCACAAACAGACTGCACCCGCCAGTGGAATTGAGGGTGGTTTATTGCTCCTCCAGCACAGCGCATCACAGATGTAATCTGGTTACAGGAACTGGGGCTAAGAGGCCTCAGTGCCCCCCCTTGAGATAGGGGAGTCCCAGACCCCTCCCCAGCTCCTTATCCTCTGCCTTCCAGACCGGAACTCACAAACCCTCTCCAAGCCCTGCCCCCCAGCCAGGGCAGCATTCCACCTTCCTTTTGTTCCTCTCCATAGGGGGTGTCTGGCCACTGGTTCAACAAGTTTGGCACTACCTCTGCCTAGTGAGGTTTTCCCTGCTGGGTCTTGCTCCAGACAGCAGAGGTCACCACAGCCCAGCAAGTA